TTTGGGACTGTTTGGGATCCCAGGTCATTCTTGCTCAACCTACTGAGTTATATAGGGATTATACAGGGATAATGGAAAAGAAAATGGAAACTACTATTTAGGGTTGAGGGCTTAGGGTATAGTCCCCCCTTACGTAGATAGAATATGGGGTATATGGGGATCTTCTTATGATATACCCAAAACCATATTCTGTCTACTTAAGGGAGACTATATGGGTAGCAGAACCCCGGACCCCTAAAATTCTCTTTATTTCTTGTGGCGCTATGGTACTTTGTACTCTGAGATTGACAGATACACGTTCCAAACCCTGAACTCGAAACTCTGAGGACCCTCTTCAAACCTCCGCCCTACAATCCATCCAACCTACTCCTTAAATCTAGGGTTTAGGGTTTGTCGCTATCAGCCCTAAACCCTAAGCCCTAAACCCTTATCAAAATCATGGGCCAGCTTGAGCTGAGAACTATTCCTGGCACTTGGCATGGGGCACAGAGACAGGGATCCCGATCTTGGAGACTGGCTGTCTCTAAAAGGGGGATATGAGGGTTTAGGGTTTAAGGTTTAGGGGTTTAGGGTTTAGGGGTTAAGGGTTAAGGGTTAGGGTTTAGCCGAATTCTCTCAACTCGAACATCCGCTATGAAGGTTTCTCAAAAAGGGGTGGCTCTGGGACCCCGTAAGATGGGGCCTTTGTGGGATCGTGGATTTACATGTTCGCGGTTATACAATGCGTACTTTGCCAAACTTCTGACCCCCAATCCTCAATCCTGCACCCACCCCTAAACCCTAAACCCTATACTCTAAACCCTAAGCCCTGAACCCTGAACCTTAACAAACCAGAGGTTCCCCTGGCACCTGGATGTCGGGCCGTCCCACCGACAAGTTGCGGGCCTAGTCATGAACAAGGCTACAAATCTCATACCTTCCAAAGCAAAGTGCCTGATACAGGGAACCAATAACTCAATATCGTGTCGAGGTTTATTGGAGGCTCCCATACTATACAAGAAATCCAAAAGCACAATAGTGGCAAGAACTCGGGCTTTTACAATACAGACTTGGATTGAAATATCACATGCCGAGGGGAGAGTACACACTAAACCTGGGCTTGGGGTTTCAGGTTTAGAGACTTGGTTGGTGTCGGACGAAAGCCATAGTTTCCGTACAAACAAGCTACCAGGTGGACATATCCCTCCCTACTACCCCAGTACAACTAAAAAGCCGTAGCAACAATCACAGCAGCAACGATGATGCTGATGAGTAGAGAAACGCGAGTATCAAGAAGCATGAGAATAGGCTCCGAAAGAAACTGCGTCTCACATATTAATATGCCGCTCATGTCATCCTTTTGCGGGAGCAAACGCCGCAAACCTAAGCTCATGTACTATTTGGGTTCCCCAAATTAAGGTCCCATTTTAGTACCCCTGGATATTGGGTGCCGTAATATAACCTGTAACCAAAAAGGGCCCCATAACAACCCATTTGGTTGCATGGCGTCCTAAACCTACAAACCCTATCTCTAAAGCGCTCAGCATGACTCGCATGGGCGCCGGCCAGTTTCAGGCACGCCGCGCCGGCAGCCTCATGCTGGGCGACCTTTTCCGGCCTGGGAAACTTCGGCTCTGCTGCTTACTTTCCCTCGTCCTCACTGGGTTCTTAACGGGATACTCTTGTAAAACAATATTCACATATTCCTCAGTCGCGTTTAGTGCCACAAAATGGGAAAGTTGTTCAACAGTGATTCATTGACTCGTCAAGGCTTGGGATAGATGGGCTTGCGGGATTCCGGCAGTGATGTTCGCATACCCCTTGCATGATCATTGTTCATGGACAGGCTTTGAGATGAGAATGATGGGGAATCAAACGGAAAAGAAAATGGAAAATGAAAAGGGTGCTACTATCACCCCAAAATCCATTGCTGGTCATTTAGGCCCTGCACGACGCTGTTTGTGGTCAGGTTGCAGGCGGGCTTGCTTGGACGGTCAGGGGGACTTAGCAAGTGAGTTAACAATTAGCATAACTACGGTCACTATGTTGACTACCTTATGAACTCCCGCTGATCCTCCAAGCATGGTAGGATAAAAATGTATGGTCCCCAAATTGGCTAGAACATATTTACACTCACCAACATTCCCATGCAACGCACACCAAAAATCCTTTGAAACAAAAAGGTTGTTTTGTGTAAGTCAGGGGTCCAAGGCGTTAGGTTCAGGTTCAGGACTTAGTCTTGGATGTAGCTTCGGGGCAACATGTAGGAACTTGGGTTGATGCCAAAAAAATCGCGCAAGGTGACTGTGAGTTTATATCATGCGTCTGCAAAGGATTCACAGGACATAGTACACGTACACGTCAATATGATGATGAATAAGACAAGCCCCACTGAGGTTTTGGGGTCTGTAGCACTCCCTGCAGCCACGCATAGATTTGCAAAGAGTAGGTTGGGTTGCAGAACACCACCCTAACCCTTCTGTGAGCGAACCCTAAACCCCAAACCCTAAACCCTAAACACTTTCCTAACCAAACCCTACATGGGAGGTTCTCAAAGCCCTTGCCCGTTCTCATCCTCAGCAAAGAGGCATCCTAACAAGTCAAGCCGCCCCCAATAAAGGGAATGCTATGTTGAGATACCCACATGCACGTGTGCAAGCCTCATGCACCGCCTATCAACCCCTACCCCCCTTCCACAAAAAAAATGTTTGCAAACAAGGCTCGGCTGTAGCTCGGGGCCATCGGCACCTCATTCCGAGCCCCAGCAAATGCAAGGCTCAGCAGGGAACTCCTAGTAAAGACGCTGGAAGATGTGCGGTAGCCCTACACCCGCAACCTTAGAAACGACAATGGCGCAGATGCCGGTCATAAGTGTGAGAATCCCTTCCCGCGAATGGTCAAAATGCTTAAGGGTCTACCGTGTAAGGATTAAACACCCCCTGACGCCAAAGAACGAAGTGGACAACCAAATGAAAATCTAATGGAACGCACATCTATATCAGGGTTCTATAAGGTTTACAATCCGTCCCGCAATATCAAGCACTCCCCACCCCCATTATGTTGCATTCTGTACTACGATGTACTACGTATTGCCTGTAAGAAATCGTAAATCGTGGAGTGACCTATTCAATATTGGTGGGGGTTAGTGGTTAGAGATAGGCGGTTATCCCGATTTAACTATGGTTCAAATCACAGTCACGGGCATCGAGAACAATAAGGTCATTGATACTACCTTGCTGGTCCTTGATAGGGAATAAAGGGGTAAATTCCCCAAATAATCCATATATGTATACTATATTCCCATACTCCCTACTGACCCCCCGTAAGCTATGATGATACCAAGAAGGACTGGGGTTCCGGCCGAAGCCAGCCAATACCTGGAGCTGCTTCTCCAGCCTTAGGCCAAGGGAGTTTGGGGGGCTAAGGGTTTGGGGCTTAGGGTGCTCATACGGTTTAGGGTTTAGGGTCGAAGGGAATATAGTATATGGGGATTATATTCCCTTATTCCCTACTTAAGAGCAGCAAAGTAGCGTTTGGTGCCCGACTGAAGCCCAATCCGACCCATTAACGCCCAGAAAAAATGCTGGGTGCGCAAGACTTACAGCCAGTCTTTCAAAAGGTTTTTTAATTACCCCAAGCCAAAGAACCGAAAAAGGGGTTCCTTTAGGCCTATATGAGCTGTAGTCTTAACTCCTGGTCATATAGGGGGGTTATACTGGGGAACACGATATAAAGGGGATACTGGGACTTTGGACCATTGCTCATATAAGGCCCAATGCTGGGTTCAAACCAGACACAGCAACCTAAACCCCAAACCGTCGCTGCAAAACCCATGGAAACCCTAAACCCTGAACCCTCAGTCCTCGACCCTAAACCCTCAACCCTAAACCCTAAACCCATTTAGAGCAACTGCATCTTAACATCAAAACAACCTGAAGTCCGAGGGCTGCAGGTTTTAGAGTATTGCCCCCAATCCTACGTGGCACTTAGGACCCCTACTAATGGTTAACCCTTAGGTACCTATAATAGGAATATAAGGACATTTCAAAGGGTTAAAGGTCTAAGGTCCAAGCTAAGTCCCAAGGAGAATCATGGAGAATCCAGAAGATGTGTTGTAGAGTGCAGGGTAGGAGGGGTTTGTAGCGTTTGGGTTCGTAGGCTTCAGGGTTTTGGGTATGGGGAGGAAATCCTAAACCCTACACCCTAAACCCTATACTCCTCCTCAAGTAAATAGAATATGGGGTATATGGGGATCTTAATATAACATACCCAAAACCGTATTCTATCTACTTAAGGGGACTATAACTCAAAGGTCCCGGCAGGTCTTCGAGCCTCTGAAGAAGGGCTTCGTCATCCGCAAGGCGCAGGCGCTCCTCTTTTTGTTCGGTTATCAAAAGCTACTCTTTCCAAACCAGGTACACAAAATTTCATGATTTGTATCCATGTATCTTTGCAAATGTCTTATATATATATATACATATAGGTGATGATATGAAATACATATAATATGTATAGTGCATTCTCCATGGCTGATAGAAGAAACACTGGAAACTACAAGGGTTCTAAAGGACTGAGGCCCTTGTCATTATAAATGTCTTACAAACTAATGGTAATCATCGTTTGCATAAGGGGTATATAGGAGCTATTGGGTCAGAGGTTTTTAGGGCATGTGTAAAATCCTTTCTGGTGAGCTCTTCTCCGGTAGTTGCCCCAGGGTTTAGGGTTCAGGGGCTATAACCCCCCCCCTCCTTCCTACTCGACAGCAACAAGCGGTCAGAAGGCACCCTGACAGGACCCCTTGCAATAGAACCCTGACATCAAGCATATAGGGACTATGCAGATCCCGTCCTCCATACCCTTAATCTCTAGTGTGTACATCCAGGAAAAACGGTGAAGATACACAATTCCAAAATAATTTCTTAGTCCCGAGAATCTCTATTAAATAATATCCAGGACTTGCAAGTTCAAACCCCAAAACCACTGCAAAGCCCGCGCGCTTTTAGGCTACCCTTGGCGGGTGGCTAGTTCGCCTCACGCTCCAGCCTCAGCTGAGCAAGTTAAGTCTCACGAAGGGAAAAGCCAGCATCGGGTTTCGCAAACTTGGAACATTGTAAGGGGGCCTACGGATGACTAGGGGGGTACAGAGATTTCATACGGGTTCTCCATTAGGAATATGTATAGAGTATTTTGTCTCAGTTCAAGGCGTGCCAGGCTTCAGGCTTCAAAATTTAGGGACGTGTGGGGATCATCAAGTAACATCTGAACTTCTCTCAAAGGCAGCTCAGGAAGCCAACTACGTCATTCAAATCACATGAAGGATCTCCAAAACATCGATGTCATTGAAAAACGTGCAATTTACAGCTTCGGGAATCTTTCCGGGCATGGAGGCTGGCTAAGGAAGTCCCAAAGTAAGTTTGCTTCCATTCTTCTCTAAGCTTTCCAGCATCCCTAAGGCCCCTGAGGTTACTCCAGCTGGATTGAATTTGGGGAACCCCAAGCCCTAGCCCTAGCTCTGAAATACAAGGGCTTGTCCACTTCACCGTCCAAGAGGCAAGTCAGGGAACATCTCTTCCTGGACCTGCTTCCGCGCAGCCTCCACAGCTGCGTACTGCTCACCTTAGCAAAGCACCCTTCATGTTCGCGAGGGGTCTAGGTAGGGGAGAACCCAAGATATACCCCGACAAGGGAGAATCAAGTGGAAAAGAATGGAAGCTGGATTTGTTGTAGGGGTTCAGTCCCTTATGCTAGTAGGGATTACATTACTTTTTCGTGATATGCCTACCTCAAGTTCAGTGTAGAGTTGCAGGGCTGCAGGGTGTCTCCAGGTTTTTCAGGGGCTGTTTGCATGAGGGCAGACAACCTACTCCTCAAAGCTTGAGCAGTTGGACAGTGAATGTCCCACTTTTTTCCTGGTCTTACTGAGGGTTAGTAGGGAAGATGAGAATATGATCACTACACAATCACTGCATTGGATTCCCTTATTCCCTACTGACCCCCAGCAAGTGCTGCACGCAGAAGATAGGAATGTGTACGACTCAACTCGCGCTCCCATTCATACCTGGAGGGTCAGGCGGAATTAGTAAGTAGGCTCAAAATTAGGATAGCTATGGTTACAAGAATATGGGTTATAGGGGCAAGTAACCTACTTACTAAGTCCTCCGGACCCTCCAAGTAGACCTCTGCCAAAGGCGACTGGGACCGGTACGCTCTGAATCCTGTATCACGCGGTCGAAGCGAATGTGGGTGCGGTTCCGGAAGTCTGAATTGTCGGACTCGATGTTCACCTAGCAAGCTGCTTCCTGCAACGTGGATCCGCTGGAAGTGAACCATGGTTTCTTTGCATCAGAATTTTTGAAAATACATAATCATGGCAACAAAGTGGACAATGGAAAACTCAACTTAATCCAAAGTGGACAATGGAAAACTCAACTATATCAACGGCAGGAAGGACCATGCAACCTATCACAAGAACAGCTGCATGGTGCTGCTTTGGTAGATTGTGACCACTTCGGTACACACATCCAGCATTCAACTCCACGAGCTTTGCAGGAGGCAAATCGCAAAAACTCAGAGCAGCAGCAACAACGAGGGTGACTGTGTGACACCTCCAGCACGTAGAACTTCAAAAACAAAAACAATAAATGTCAACATTTGCAGTGATTATGGATATTATGACAGCAGAATTAATGACAAGCCTTGATGTGCGCGAAGATGTCGATCCGTACATCCGCCTTGCAGATCCAGATCTACAGGACTATCATGTGGCTGTTACAATTAAGGTCCTTCTTGTAAGGGTTGGACTAACCCAATCCCCTATCATGCTACCTAAGCCCTGTTTTGATTTCACTTTCCGCTTGCTTGTTCATTTGATTTTCCATTGACTGGGGCCATGTCCAAAAAACCCTAGACCCCAAACAGTAGTATTGATGTTCCTTTCCATTCGTCCTAGCATCCGTATATAACCCCGGTATTTTACATCCATATACAATACCCCCATAGAGCCCGATACCATGAACCCTAGTCCCTCCCCCATACAAGCCTACCTTCACTGTAGTCCACCCCTCTTCAAAGCCCAAGAACCTCGGGCGGCAGCTTTCGACCTTAAACCTAATGCCCCTTAAATCTTCAGTGTTTTAGCGTTCAGGATTTAGGGTTCGGGGTTTAGGATGGGTTTAGCGGCATTCTCCCCAATATTTGAGCAAATGGAAAATCAAATGGACGTGAAACGGAAAATGAGAAGGAAACGGTGATTATGCAGAAGATCGTAGGCTCAATATTGCCATACAGCTAGTAGACATGGTTTCCTATTGGGGAAGATTTTGGACTATGCCAAACTACCAGAGGGACCCATTATGTCCACCTTTAATGGTCCCTTGGTAAGCCTAATTTTGTCAGTAGCTCATATGAGCTACAGCCAATTTTTCCAGATAATTAGTGGACATGGGTTCCTTGTTAAGGACTACATTAGCGGCTATAATAAACTACAAGAGGGACCCCTATGTCCACGATTAAGGGTCCTCATAAGCCTGATGTTGACAGTAGCTCAAAAGATGTTTCTCACCACCAGGGTATCTGCAGCGATCCTAGGAGTATACAGGGATCGGCATGAATTCATGGCGCGCGCCCGAAGGATTTCAAGGGATGATTTTGAGCAACCAGTTGGAAACAAACTCTAACATGCGAGACCACTCCGGCGGTTCCTCAATCTTCGGACTGCCTCTTAGGGTTCCTATCACAAGCATACGGCTGTCGCCTCCTTCTTGCTGAGGATGCACTGCTCCTCTTCCCGCACGTCCCAGTCCTCCTGACAGCGGTCAGGGGTGGCGAACAGAACTGATAATTTCAACCATATGAATCAGGAGGACCCCCCACCCTGTAATAGTGGTATAATAGGAATATACGAGGACCCTAATACAATGTCCACCTAACATATGAACTAGAATTTTAATCGTCAAAAGAACTACAATAACAAGCATGGCAACAACAACAACAGCATTCTCACCACTAGTCACACTAGTGACATCAGACATCAGTAAATGCTGGTACAAACCTACTCCGGGTTTGGGGTCCCATGCGGCTTAGGGCTCAGTAAACATAAGCCCAAAATCTGGCCCGACTACAATCTGCTCAAAGCCTCATAATTGGGAGTGTCCCAAAACTAGGGGTACCACTTTGAGGATCCCTATAATGAGGACTATAGTATTGGGGGGTCTTTATTGGGGTCTCCTTGTTTTGGAAAACTACCAATTCCAAAGCCTGAGAAGTGAGGCCACTTTGGGGCTGCTATCCCATGCAACCGACCATTTGAAGTGAGGAGGGGCAGGTCATCAAAATTTGCCTAGTCCAAACCGGCCCCAGAACCTCACTAAAATGTGCATTTCTTGGCTGTTATTAGGATTATACTAACCAAAAACTGAAAATCATTTTGGAGGCCCCTTATGTTAGTAAGAGCGGGCGCCTCAGGCATTGCCACAACTCCCTCGATACCATAGCGAGGCACGTTGACCTGCCGCCGCGAAGAGCCGTGCAAAATCAGGCTGCGTACTGTGGACATGAGGGGTTGCCCAAAATTAGGGATCCCTATAACAAGGGTTAGAATAAAATGGAAGCTACCGTATTATAGGGGTTATATAAGGGTATAATATTCTGTTAAGATTTGGGGATTTCCCAAAATTAGGGGTACCTTTTGGGGATCCCAATAATGGAAAAGAAAATGGAAACTACCATTTAGGGTTTAGAGTTTAGAATGATTTAGGGGGTTTCCCAAAATTAGGGGTACCTTTTGGGAGGGTAGTATTTGGGGACTACATTGGGGTTCCCCTTTGGGAAAACACCACATGGACATGGCTCAGCAAAGGATTCCACAAGGTACCTCACCCAGAATCCTGGCCAGCTCAGAACAATAACTGCCTTGTGAGCTCAAGCGGAAATGGGGGAGGGAGTGTAGGTGCTGCCACAAGGGGTTGCACAGAAAGTATTATAGGGATCCACTCCCCACACTCTCTTCGGCAAGGGTAGGATGAAAGTGATACCAGAAAATAGAAGCTACGCCCATTCTATCCCACTGTGCCGTGCCTGCATGCCAGATCGACGGATTCGGGTGACCACCGCCTCTGCGTTCTGCTGCCCCTGTCGCTTCTCCAAATGAGGGTGCGCATCGTGAAAGCTCAAACCTTGAACTTCAGCCCTTAAAACAGGCAGGCAATCTCGTGTCCGAAACTACTTCTGCAACATGGTGCCAACCACTCTGCAGAACCATTCTGCCTGCCTTCTTGTTGAAGAACCTCGGCTTTGAAGGCGGTACATTCCACAACGAACAAGATCACAAGAAGAAAGAGGATGTCTAGCAACAAGCATCACAGCTGTGATTCTATCCAAGATGGGAAAATGCCGAGTATTATCACGATGGTCACTTCAATTCTTTTCGTTGTTGCCATCGTCATTCTTATGCCTGCAGTGTATAAGAGACCCTTATAGAAGCAAGTAGTCACCCTGACATGCGTACCTGTCAAAAAAAAAAAGCCGCGGTAACTGACCCGGCCAGTCATGCCCTCAGCATAAACCCCGGCCCTGATTGACAAAGCCCTTTAACAGAGCACGCTACAGACAAAGGTAGTTCTCATCATTATGGAGACTGGACTAGAGCTGCGAGAGCTTTACCTTGCAGACCGTACTAACTACAAACCAAGACCCCCTAAAGGATCCAAAAAAATAGAACCCCCCCAATATGAACGTATTGCTACATTGCGGAAACTAGGGGATTATTCAGAGGTTCCATTTTTTGGATCCTTTGGGGGGTCTGGGAATGAGGTTTGAGCTGAAAAAGAAACTATCATTTACTCAGGACCTGTCACCCGCACTCTGGCGCAGGCTCTTACTTGGAGAGCAGGGGACTTAGCAAATAGGCTAATAAGAGGGAGAACTAGGGTTACTATATGGATTATAGGGGTTACTATATGGAATGTAAGGGTCATCTAACCTGCTTACCAAGTCCCCCTGACCCTCCAAATACTCTAGTAGAAGTTAGGGCCAGCATCCCGCATGCTGGCCGTGGAACCTTGCACAGTGTAATGGGCATCCCTAGAAAATCCCCACCCTAAACCCTAAGCCCTAAACCCTAAACCCTAAGCCCTAAACCTCAGCAAAGGAGCATGAAAGTGTGCAGGTCAGCAGAGGCTCGGCTGGCAAATTGGGACATACGATGCTTCACCTGCTTGGAGGGTTTAAGGTTTAGGGTGGGTTTAGTAAGTCGGTTAATAATCCCTATAATCCATATAGTAACCCTAGTTATCCCTGTTATTAACCTACGTATTAAGTCCCCTGACCCTCCAAGTGGGTTTGTTGGGAGCGAGCGACAGGAGCTGTAATGTATACGGATAGATAGAGACATGTAGGGTTATAGAGGGTTATATGGGGTTATGGGACTATATAGGGCTATTTGGGGTTATGTGGGGGTGCATTGGGATTATAGGGACATTACCCCCATGACGGAGAATCAAACGAACTAGCAGATGGAACATGAAATGCAAACTAGGTGTATAGAGGTGGAAACCCTATGAGAGGTGGAAACCCTTTGAGAGCTACGTGGTAAGCTGTCAAAAATTACGTCCGGTTTTGATTCCCCATTACAATATGGCCCCTCATATTATTTCGGGTACCGAAAAGGGGACCATGATTTTGAAGTCCCCCCCCTCATGATGTAAACCGCCATACATTCATCATGATGTAAGAAAGCTGGCAAATTCAGACATGACAACAGTGACAGTCAAAACACCAAGCCCGGCATGGTAATAAAGCTATTTTTTGCTATCCCGATCGTAATGCTGATTTGAAATCACTGCCATAGATACCTAATATTGTAGTTTCCATGTTATCCATTATCTCTACTTTATCCTACATCATAATATTTCTACCCTTTCCTCCCATATAACCCTACATCATAATATATTCCTTTCTTCCCTACTAACCCCCAGTAAGATAGATACCAGCAAGGCTTCACCTTGTGGCCTCCAATGCCAATTGTTACTATTACTAGTACTATTACTATTATTATTACTCTTACTACTATTCCTACTATTATTACTATTACTACTATTACTACTATTGCCAACGAGGCGCATTAATTTTGTCGCACTGCTCCGAAATGGTAGCCTGCGCAGCTGCAAGGCAAAACAAAGGAACTTCTTTCAACCTGAATGTTCATACAGCAGTATTGATAAACCCTGAACCCTCAACCCTATAGCCTTGGACTAGGACTGCTCCTTTTCAGACCAAAAGCCCGAAATCCAAAGTCACAACAAAGGTGGCATCAACGACATGCATGCAGGTGACACAGCCGAAAGCGAGCGAGCTTCTCCTACTCAAGCGAGTTGTGCAAACTAAGATACTCAAACTGTTGGGGATAAGATTTCCCTCCACTGAGCATACCCCAAACCCTCAACCCTAATCCCTAAACCCTGATCCCTACACCCAATTGGGTATGGGTAATATTGTGTCACCGCCATCTCCATGTACTTCTGGGGCATCCCTACTCGTTACTCTGAGCATTCCCCATTTCGCAGCTTCTCAAAAAAAAGAAGCCCCTAACGGAATCCATCAATATATAACCACAGTCTGAACTCCTAGTATCCCCCTTAATACACCCTATAATAATACTCCCCTATATAATCCCCTTTTTAACCCCCCCCCTTTAAGTTCAGGCCTTGGACTGCAGCTGCTCCGGCAACGGAATCAATCCCAAGGAGGCAGCCAACAGGCGGTGCGCCAAGACGTCGGCATAGCGGCGAATTGGGGATGTGAAGTGCGTGTAGCCTGTGCAGTTGGGTTTCCAGGGTTGCTTGCATCGAGCCAGGGGGATATATAGTCGATATATACAGAAGTTCCATTTGATTTTCCTACTTTCTCCATTGTATCACAACATTGTTTCTAATTTAGGCACCTAAACCCTAAAAACCTAGAATCTGGAGATCAGATCTTCAGGGCTTTGAATTTCAAAGTTCCAGGATTCAAGATGTGGATTCCGATGACGTAATTGCTGGACCACATGCCTATATATTTGAGGTACCCTATGCTTGTTCTAGAGGAAAAAGATAGTAGTGTCCATTTCATGTTCCATGTTCTTTTCCACTTCGTTCTCGAGTATATCGTCTTCGACGCTTCTGCACACAGGGCTGCCGAACAAGTCCCTGGTCATGCCTGAGTTGCGGTTGAGGAACTTAATTTAAGTTACCATATTGGGGAAACCCTATCATTTTCTGTGTATATATATATATATGTACACCCATTATGGTAACTTAAACTAAGTTCCTTAACAGCAACCCAGATACACTCCAAGGCGGATCAACAGAAACAATAGCAATGCGACTTGGATATCTTGGAGTGTTCCTTACAGGGGCTCTTCCAAGGAATTGTGGTGGACCTGCATGAACCTGAAAGTTCACACATCAGCACCTTGCAAAAACCACACCCAACCCAATTGTTACGGCTCTGCTCTGGGTCTCTGGCGCTCCATTGCAAGGCCATAGTGACCATACAATGCCGGCTGCACTTCCCCAGTGCAGAAGTAGACGGCTTGGTTCATGCACCTGCGTCGCATCTTGTGGCTGGCAGCAAAAGGGGGTGAGGTTGCAGGCCGGGCAATGAGGATGAGACAATCGCCATCTTAAGCTGAACTTAGGATAACACCATTGAGTGCTCCTTCACAGAACGGACCTTCTCACCCAGGTACATATTGATGATTCCAACCCTGATAGACTCGATCTCGCACAAAGATGGCCGCAGATTTGGGCATGTTGGACTCCTGCCTGGTTGTCATGATCCGGATCAAGGTATTGAAGAAAGGATCCTGCAACAGAGCATCCCGTCAGTCATCTCTCTTTTGCGTATTCCTTCGATAACAAATGCAAAGAACACTCATTCCTCCATTCAGCGCTCGAATCTTGATAGGAACCTCTGGATATGAGCTATAGTCCAAACTCCTAGCTTGCCCCCTAATATCCCCTATAGTAGTCCCCTATACAATCCCCTATATAACCCCATTTCAGGAGTTTAGACTATATATAGCTCATATGAACATGCATGAGTTCTCCTCGGGCTTCACAGCCTTCTGCAGCGAATCGGAGAGCTCCTGACAACCCATCCAGCCCCCTGATCCTACACCCAATTAGCAGCCACAACAGTATGTAACCTATAGAAAGAACACTGCTATTCGTGCCCGCACCTGCAACCATTCTTGCCGCTGCTCAATTATAACTACAATAACCAAGCCAAAGTCGGCAGGTACCTACAATAAGGACATAGATACAGAGTATGGTGTATAGCGGTCTATTTTGTGGTCCCTCATTTATGAAGTATGAAAAACTACCATGACAACAATCCTTGTTGCTGCCAAACTTGAAGTCGTGGATGCCGTTCTTCGCCAGCAGCTTCTGCAAAACCTTCAGCTGCTCATCCTGCGAAGCATTTTGGGAACCTCTTTCTTCTTCTTTGTCCTTAATCCGGGGCTTCCATAAACTAGGGTCCCTTTTGGGGGGTACTTCTAGAATAAGGGTTCTGCTAGATTTCAATCTATATCGGGGCCCCTATTTATGGAAGCCCATGAGTGTTCTGGCTGCTGTGGGGAATACTTGAACTGCTCTTAATGTGCGTTTTACTTCGACTTGTACTGTGCATGGAGAAAATCTTGCACCACCTTGGAGGAACCACCTTTTCTACCTCATACCAGTTGCATAGAAAGTTGGGTAGGCGGACAACAACTCAGGCTGCTCCCAGGTCAAAAGTGCGTCCGCTACAATCAGCAACTTACTGAGGGTTAGAAGGGCAAAAGGGAATATATCATTTTGGGATATTTAGGGTATAACCCTAAACCCTATTTAGGGATTATATTCGTTTCTTCCCGACTAACCACCAGTAAGACAAAGCTTCTGAAAGCCTTTTTCTCTGTTAAACGTGGAGACCTAATCCTGGCCAGGGAACTGATGATCCTCACCTTGGGCGCAAAAGGGTTTTGGGTGTAGGTCATATAGGGATTATGCAAGAGCAAGACTTGTGAACAAGCCCTGCCTGGCTAATCCTGCTTGCGATCGCTGACCACCTGTCTTAACACTCCCCTATAGCTCACATCATGCAATCCCTATAACGTTCTCTTCCCGCTAGATCACACCCTTGACCAATTCCTGCACTCGCTTAGAAATGCAGATACTTATAACACCCACCAAATATGATTACTCCATCTATCCCGATTATTAACCTACTTACTAGATCCCCAGACCCTAAACCCTGAACTTGAAATCTTAAAAAAAAAATCATGGCAGTTTCCTTTCTCTTTTCAATTATTACTAATCTCCCCGGACCCTCCAAGTAACCCCCAACCAGATCACCCTTGGGTCCTTCGGCGGCGGATGCCTTCGCAGAACTCCGAACATAGGGAAGCTGCTCAAAATCTTGGAGGCCACCGCCTTCGGGACTTCATGTGAGCTATAGTCTAAACTCCTAGTGTCCCCCATAATAACCCCTATAGTAGTCCCCAATATAATCCCCTATATAACCCCCCTTTAAGGAGTTTAGATTATGGCTCATGTAAGGGCCTGTAGAAGTGTCATAGGTTTGCGGATGTATTATACAATAACAATATACTATATACGGGTTATGTGTTTTGAAGCAGTATTTGCAATTATCCCAGCTTTTGCATTAGGAGTCGTTTGGCTTCTGGATTTTTTGGTGTTTTTGCGTTCTAGGGTTTAGCGTTTTTTGGCTTCTTGGGTTAGGGCTTCTTGGAGGTGTCCCTGAAGTCCCCTCAAAAAACTTCCCTACTTCACCAGTCCTCGAACCTCAAGCTTGATTTGGGCCTTTAGGTTTAGGGTAATTGAACCAAGTAAGATTATAGTCATTTTACAGCATGCTATACCAAAATGGGGGGTAGAATCTTACTTCTTTTCGGTACTTTAGTCTGCCCACAAAAAAAATCTACTCAATTCAGCAATGTAGGCGTACAAACACCGTGTTGGTTTAGGTTGGGTACTGACCCCACCCTGTAGCAGTCTATATCAGCGATCATATTAAGAGCTATACACACCTGTGTTGTGAATGTTATCCAACTGTTACAGAGTGGGAGCAGTACCTAAAGTATTAATAGTATCATTCTTTTTCTAACGTGCCTATGTAGGGTCGTAAGTTAGCTTGGAAAACCCTTTCTTCCAAAAGTGAAGAAAATAGGGCTGTAGGTTAGTTTGGAAAGCTCAAAGAAAAGTGGACAACATGCTAAAAGACATTCAAAAACACGTGATATGCACCGTTTAGGGTTTTAGGCTTAGAGACGTCTACAGCGAGCCTGGTTCGCCAACAGCATGAGCTCCTGGATTTGCAAGACTTAGGCGTGAGGCTTTGGGTTTAGGGGTTAGGGGTGAGGCTTTAGATAACATTGGGGCGTGAAAGATGACCAATGTCATGGCCCCAGTGTCCTTACATTATCATGGTATCAGGTACCTCAAATAGACCTTAAGATGATCTGAGCCATAGTCTAAACTCCTAGCATCCCCCTGAATAGCCCCAAGAATTAATCCCCTATATGGTAGGTTCCCCAAATAGGGGAACCCCAATATAGACCTCAAAATACTATAGTCCATTTTATGGGGACCCCCAAAAAGGGTACCCCCAATTTTGGGAAAACCTCCAAATCATTCTAAACCCTAAACCCTATATAACCCCCCTTTAAGGAGCATAAACTCTGGCTCAGATAAAGCGGCCTCCCTCATGCAAAAAGGAGACTTCAGCTCTCATGCCAGGAGCTCTGCGGGGGTTAGGGTTTAGGGTTGAGGGTTTAGGGTTTAGGGTTGAGGGTTTAGGGTTTAGGGTTGAGGGTTTAGGGTTGAGGGTTTAGGTTGAGTGCCCATGATAGTACGGCCCCTGATATTTAGGGTACCGAAAAAACCCTAATTCTGACAGCCTGTAGATCCTGTCTAGTTGCAGCTGAAGTTAAGTTGTGTCATATTAACCCACCACAGCTGCCTGACACATAATTTAAACGATGAGCTGAGGCAAAAGGCCGTCTGTCAGCCAAGCGAAAGCGATCATGGAGCGCGAGGGCCTAAATATGTCGGATAATAGATCATAGTTATTGTGTAATTGCAAAGGTGTATGGAGGAATCAGCAGCTGCTCAGGCTCCCGTATTAAATGAGGCTGCGCGTGATCTGCATCTTGCAGCCGCAAGCGAAGCCAAAACAAAAAACAAATTGTATGACGGCCTTCTGTACGTAGGTCAGTAGCCGTTGGCCAAATGTCTGCTTCGGGATACAGTTTGTGAACGGATCTCTGCTACCATCATCGTCGGCTTCCCAGAGATACTCTGCTCGATGCGCAGCCTCCCAGGGCGGTCTACTTGCGCTCCCGGTTTCATGGCTTGGGGTTTAGAGGGTGGGGTGTACAAGACACCACCATTTTCTACAACTCAAGAGGTATCATTACCTCAGGGCAGGGAACCTAGCACCCGTTACTTCAGGCTTTTACATGAAGCTTCATGTTTTTTTCCATAACTGGGGCTGTCAGCCTACCCATAATCACTCTAACTGACATCCTATGCAGTACCCCAAGTATGAGCAGGGTTATAGCCCCAGCTGTAAGTAGCCACCAAGCCCCATGAACCTATAAAGGTTCTGAGATGACGATTTCCCATGTACTGGCTTGCTCAACTCATCTACCACGATAAGCCTGCAAGGGTGTACTTACTATGTATTCGCATTATCGCAAGTTGAATTAAGATCCTTAAACGCCTATATAAAACCCTTACAATCGCAGTTTCCATGTCGCTCTCCATATGATTATCCGTTTGATTCTCCAAAATGGCACCTTACAAGTACATCCTCTATACCCTCATACACCAAAAAAACCCTAACCCCAAAACCCTAAACCCTGAACCTTGAGCCCTAAACCCTAAATCCTATTTACCCCGAAATACCCCTGTATACCCCTCACCCTATCTACCTTTGAATACAGCAATCTAGATTGCCCTTGTCGGCCTGCTTGGCCAAGTCTCGTCCATACATCTCCCGTACCACAGCCAATGAAAGGTCCGTGCCCGCGGAAACTCCACTGGCGGTCCAGAACTTTCCATCCAAAACCCAGCGGGCCTTGCGATGATGATGCCGGTATGTATTGCTAGCATTGTTGATAGTGTACTTCATGAGTATGAGCTAATTGCTCGTGCAGTTCTACTAGCTAATACTATCAAGTTCTATCAGCTAATACTATGTCATTGGTACAATTTTGCATGATACTCTGCGCTAGCTATTTAGAAGCTTGTGATTCCTACCACTTTCCTTCCGCCAACATATTTCTCTCCCACCCCCAGGTGCTCAGTACAGTCTCAATGAAAGGTGCTACAGGCAATACTAACCATTGGGGCATGCCAGCGGTTGAGGGCTATCAATCCAAAACCCTAAACCCTGCCGCAAGCCCCAAAACAAACTCTACCCAAGCGTGGCTTTACAGCACTGGTACTAATTAGGGGCCTGAATAACTATCAATATCATTTGAGGCCCAGTTGAGTTACCCTATACGGTAATAAAAGGAAACAAGGGCAATAACATTGGCAATCTACGTTACCTATATTATACAAGCCCCTGGTCTCTCTGCCATTTGATTTTCCATCATGACCCTAAGCCCTGAACCCGAAATAATACAAGTTGTCCATTTCCTTCTCCACTCCGATAACCTATACCCTAAACCCTAAACTCATATTGAGTAGCGTTTTTTTGCTGGTTGAACCTAGTAAGATTATATTCCTGATATAAGATACTATATCCCGAAAGGAGGATATAATCTTACTCTATATTGGGAACCCTAGTATCCCCGAAATTTAATACTACACAAATAACCCCTACATAATCCCACTGTCCATTTCATTTTCCATTTCCTTTTCCATTTGATTCTCCATTATAGGTCCCTAAACCCCAAATTATTGGGTACCCTAGTATCCCCAAATAAAATACTACTCATATTAGGCTTCTACAATTTTTTGTCCTAGTGAGCCTCCGGCACCCAAAGAGCCTGCGGCCCGAACCGGGCCATCAGGTCGAAGGTGAATTTGTTTGTGGTGGCTCGACACCCATCCAACAAGCCTGCTGGGGATTCCCAATTGGTATTTCGAGGGTTTAGGGAGCATTTCTAGGGGGCTTTGAATATGGGAGTGGGTTTAGGGATCAGGGCTTCAAGTTTTGAACCCCCATCTTGCGTGGCTCAGTTGATGGGCCCCTAATTTTTCAGAAGTCCTTGAGAGTCTCTATAATACTACCTATAGTGTATAGTATAATCATTCTATACAATCGCCCAACATGGCCTTGTGAAGCCAGGATGGCACTGCCCGTGCAAACAGTCATGACGCGCTGCGATCGGGCAACCAGATTCTTGATGGCCTTCTGGAAAAGGGGGTTGTAGATCTCCCGGATGGTTCCAATGCCTGCCCAAGATGGAGTGCTTTAGGTAGCAAGAAGGATACTACACGGCCACACAAATGGGACGGCTACTACTACTTCTCCATCTGCTCCTCCTCCTACTACAACTAGTCCTACGGCTTTTACTACAACGATAGCGAGGATGACGGTTGGTAATAAATATTGCCGCCGCCGCTGCCGCCACTGCCACCACCAATGAGGACAAGGAGCACAAGACTCACAACAGCCACGCTGCCTCCCGGGAGAAGCAGCAGATCGATCTGCTCCGGAAGTGAACCATGGAAGTTCACACCCGAGGAGCCTGTGTTATCGCTGCTGATCACCTGAGCATTCTACCAGACTACATACTTGGAGGGTCAGGGAGACTTAGTAAGTAGTTTAGTATTCAATAACGGGGAAGACTAGGCTTAGGAGTATACAAGGTATAAGGATACAGTCCCCCTATCTACTTAAGGGGACTACACCCTAAACCCTAAACCCTACACCCTAAACCCTCCACCCAAACCCTACACACAATATTCTATTTACTTAAGGGGGACCCTTAATCTACTTAACGGGGGACTGTATCTATGCAGGTGGCTTCGAGTTTCCAGAAGTCAGGAGTCCCTTTTGGGGATCCCTGAGTCAAAGCCGTGTTGCCTGTGGTGTACATACGGGTTAGGGTTTAGGGTTTAGGGTTTAGGGTTTAGGGTTTAGGGTTAAGGGTAAGAAGCTACCTGGCTATCGCAATGGGAATAGCTTGAGTACTGCACCCCCTTAGTAACAGTTGGATAATAACTATAATATGGTTACTTATAGCCCTTAATAGGACCCCTAAAATAGACTGTTACTGGATGGGGGCAGTACCCAAGGAATAGCACCAAACTCCTGAAAGCCCCTAATGACAATCCGTTTCCACATTGCCGACTCACCGCCGGTGACAATGGTGTCAAGGTAGTTTCCCTAAATAGGGGGACCCCAATATAGAGGTACCCCAAATTTTGGGGAAACCCCCACAAAAGGACTTCAAACAACTCAGGGCTGGGCAACATCCGCTTCAAAGACGGGACCGGCAAAGGAGCACGTCTTTGTATCCTCGCGCCGCCGAATCACAAAAGGAAAGTCAATAAGAGCGATTGTCATGCAAAGACTGCTTTACGTGAGCCATAGTCTGAACTTCTGGCATCCTTCTTCATAATCCCCATAATCCTCCCCTATATACTCCATGACCCTCTTCACGGAGTTTAGACTCAAAACCCTAAACCCTAATCCCCTTTGTAGCCCAGGAGTGTAATCCATAGTACATGTACATACCAGGTTTGGGAGGATGAGGATCTACTCTGCAGGGAATGTTGGCAAGATTCCCAGCATTCCCTAAACTCCATACGGTCTAGGGCTTGGGGAGGGTAACTTGGAGTCAAAGCCACAAAGCTCAAACTCGCTGTAAACCCTAAACTGCAACTGAAGCCATCAACCTGCAACCCCATGAGAATCCTGCTCCCTCTCCACCTATGCTCAACTTACCAACAGTCAGTCTCATAATGATTCTTCTAGGAAGCGCTAAACCCCAATTCCCCCTTGCTGGTGCTTGAGGAGGATTTGCAGAGGAAATATGAAGACCGCTAAAAGGCACTACAGACGACCTATTCTTGGGATGAAGTCCCGCTCTCTCCATTAAGCAACCGAAACCCAATTCCCTTTACCCTGTAGTAGCTTGACTTATCTTTCCCGCTCCCCCATATCCCGCCAGATCCCCCCAATATACTCCTACATGTCTCTAAACATGCCATGCCCCCCATAGTCCCTTGTATCCCGTTTATACCCTTGTATACCCCCACCCCTATATATCCCTACATCCCCCTACATACCCTTTAAGCAGCAGCAAGTCTCTCGTATCCCCCAATCCCTGAACCCTCAACCCTAAGC